GGGTTTAGGGTTTAGGGTGAAAAAGACACCCACGCCCAAAATGAGAGCTTCCTTTGTGATTATTATTACTAGACTGATCACTTCCGATGTTGTGCTTGTTCTTCGTCGTATAATCCCTGTTCCTGTTCTTGCACAATAGGTACAAGTTTTGCTCCACGTTGATGATATTTTGGGTGATGGGGGGGTTGAGTTTAGGACTTCTTCGTGGAAGGTTTGGGGTTGCAGAATTCCTAAACCAATGGGTTGCTCACGAGGACAGATCTCTAAACGAGGGGCCCTCGAGAAAGAAGGATCCTATGATCCTATCATTGGTCATTACTAAACATGGCTACGACTAGAGTCAGTAACTTTGCTGTGTTGCGGTTGAACAGCTGCTATTGATGTTGTTATTATTCCTACATATCCTTCTCGCTATCCATATTTATGATTTACATGAAAGGAAGTCGCCACATTGCTTCTTCTCGAGTTTACGATGACTACTAATACTCTTAGATATAGCTATGACCTATGACCTTTACTCTCAGTATTCTTGTTAGCTTGGCTCTAAGCCTTACACCCAGGAACCCTAACTTCTTTTGCTTTTTGTTGGGGCTCTTGAAAACCCTACAGAATCCAAGCAATCCCCCCAAACCTGAAAGCCTTGAACCCTACACCGCTGAAGCCTAAGCCTAATAAAACCCTTTCGAAGAATATCTTCAAGGTACGATGCTGGCCATGTCCTCCCCCGGGGTACTGTCAAAATCCTTACGGCACCAAACTGGGGATCTTCAGTAACTAAAGCAAACTACATTCCTTAATATTCAGTCTTCGGGGCAGTCTAGGATTTAGAGCCTTGAGGTGGACGCACTATGAGGGTTTAGGGGTTTTGGAGGCTTTGGGGGGGTTCAGGGTTGGGCTTTAGGGTTTTGGCCCCAGTGCGCGCGCGCGGGTGTGTGTGTGTGTGTGTGTCTGTTGTCTTCCGTGGGGTCTTTACGTTTCGTAAAGAGAGGTCGTGGGACACCTTCTATTAGAGCTAGTCAGCTAGTCTGGGGGCTGTAAGGGAATCTTAAATACAATTAACGAATGATTCAGCCCTCTACAGAGGGTGGAAGTCGTTTAGAAGCTTAAGGTTGAGCTTGAGGTTTGGGTGATTGGCGTCGGGAAAATCCCTATGTAATGTTGAAAATAAATAATGCACCTCCGAACCCCCGTTCTATGCTTCTTCCGATATGTCCAACAAGCCCACAGTGCGGGCTCGTAGAGCAACCCACAGACTGCGGACTCAACACAAGCACATCGTCATCGATGCCGGTGGGGATGACATCTGAAAAGCTGAGCCGGTGTCGTCATCGATGCTAATCACGACTGATGAAGAACACAATGTCGATTATGATGACGATGATGATACGATACGTACGAGGATCTGATGGTGGTGATGGTCGTGGTGATGATGGTTATGGCGATAGCGATGGAAGGTTCTCATGATGATGGTGGTGACAACGACGATGTCGACAGCGGAGATGTTCCTGATGCATGTAGCCATCACGTCTTGCATGTACACCGTGCCCCCTACAGAGAGAAAAGGCCTCATGAGCGTCGCCAGAGCTGAGAAAGTAGGGTGTCCTGAGTGGGCAACTCGGGTTCGAAAGAGTTTACGACAAGCTCAAGTAAACAGGCATCGGAGCCGATGGCACGCACACACACACACACACGAACACAGGTCTTGAGACTAGACAGAAAAATGTGGTTCCATTGCAAGCACTGATAAGAACTATCCTGCTGCCAGAACTGCTAAACGGATGATGAGTGCTGTCCCAGACGTGCTGGTGCCTGAAACATTTCAAGCCCTCGCGCACACACACACACACACACCGATACAACAACAAGGCTGTTGTCAAATCCTATTCATCCGTGGAGCAATGTGTGACAACATGCAGGCAAAAGCACTGGGACACGGAATTATTGCTAAGTTCTGCCGGGCTTCTTCAAACAACAACCAGCGGGTCGTGAGAGACCGGAAGCATGCGAATGGGACACATGACTACACAGCTACCTCGGCAGAAGAACTGAACTCACCCCATGTACCCCTAAACCCCTAAGCCCTAAACCGTTATCAACCCAGAACAAGCCCTCCAACATCCAAATCTCTCAAGACGACAGCTGCCAATCCCAAGCAGCCCTGAAAGGTCAATTCTTCAACGCCTTACGCCCTTAAGTCCCTTGAATTCGAAGCCTTGCAATCATGCCAGAAGACTTCTGTACGAATAACCATATCAACAACACAGATCAATGGTATCATCCTCTGCTCAAGACATGTAGGCAGCAGTGCTACGGGGGCCCTGAACAAACAAAAACAACAACTATCTGACGTCTTTCCGAGAGGCAAGTGCTTGTTGCCATCTCCCCGATTGTTCTGAATCAGCATGTTCGTCGCGAAGATTTCGGGCTAAGATTGGTCAGGACAGACTCACGGTGCAGGCAAGGCTCTCAAGCTATGACATGCTAAGTCATGTCGCAGTGAACACGAGTAGCGGACGGTCCCTAGCTGAGGACTCAGGTTAGAAATTGTCAACACGTCTACAAAAGTTGTCGATCGCATTGTGAGACGGTATCTCTTCTCGAACATGAGAACACAAGTATAACATGTGGAACCTTCTTTGTCACTTAAACCCAACAAACATTTCGGAATCCGGTGCAGCTGTGACCCGCCGAAGGGTTGAACTGAGGCTTCAGCTATTCCCGGCCTCAAACCCAAAGCCCCGGAACCTGGAGCCCGACTCCCTTCTGCCGTTTACCAGTATGGGGTTGGCATTTGAGGCTTAGACCCTAACCCCTAAACCCCAAACCCCTAAACCCTGAACCCTAAACCCAAACCCCTAAACCCCAAGCCCTAAATCGAAACCCCTAAACCCTAAACCCTAAACCCCAAACCCCTAAACCCGAAAACCCTAAANNAACCCTAAACCCTTAACCCTTATATGGCTTGCACATGAGGGCGGGCTGAACACTCACTGATTTTTTAACCTCCAAATAACTTCGCCTCGCCTGAAGCCTCCAATCAAAAAGGAACACTTTAGGGTTTAGGGCTTAGG